CCTCCGTATGGCTCCCTATGTCTCCACCGGCCGCGTGATCGACCATATATTGAAGAATTTGGTGGAGACCATCATAGAAGAATTGGTTGAGCACACCGAGGCAAAAGTGATGATGTGGGCATTGGAGTTGATAGCCCTTGAATCGTTCCCAAGCCTCGTGGAAAGTCTCACCGATATTTTGGCTAAAGCTAGCCATTTGAGTCCGGAGGTCGGTGGTCTTTTGATGGGAGTAGTACTTTCCCATGAACTTTTCGTAGACGGCTTCCCACGTGTGGAGCGAGCTCGGAAGCAATGTCATGAACCAAGTCTGGGATCGGTCTTTCAAGGTTTAAGGGAAGCATCTCATTCGGAGTTGATTCTCGGTTAGGCCTTGGAGAGGGAATGTGTTGACGGTTGCATAGAAATCTCGGATGAAGTTGAGAGCGTCCTCTTGGGCTAGGCCGTAGAAAGATGGGAGTTGATTTAGGTGGATGGTCTTGAGATCATAATTTCGGGCCGCCTCCCCGAGCACGAGGCACGAGGTGTTGTCTCCAATAATCGGCCGTGCAAAGTACCTCATGTTCGGGGGAGGTGGTGGTGGCAATTGGTCTTCGTGTCCCGCCATTGATTCGATTTTTGGCTCGGGTTAAGGCTCGTCTATGTTGAGTTCAACGAAAAGGTCGATTGATGGAGTCTCCTCTCGGGGTGCATGCCTTCGTCTACCTCGCATAAACAAAAACAACAACTACACCCGGTGAATGTATCAATGGGAAACGAGATAAAGACACAAGCAACAAAAACAATTAAACGACAAAAAAAAAGAGAAATAAAGAGAAACACGGAAATTAACCAAGGTTCACAAAAATCAAGAGAAACACGAGAAAAAGAGACAATCAACTAGCAAACTAGGCGTCCTACTTGCCTTCCCCGGCAACGACGCCATTTGTTTGGTATAGAATTGATAGGCAAGGGATAACCGAGCTACCCGACTCGGGTCGATCTCGAAGGAAGGCTATTCGGAGCTTTGTCTACTAAATGATCGTCCAAACCACAAAATCGAAAATAAAATCCTAAACATTCTAAACAATTGATTGGATGGTTGATTAACACTACTTGAGCACTTAAAAATGAGCAATTAATTGAAAGCAAGATCAAAAGACGAGCATTTCACAAACTAGATCTCCGGAGTCTCATGCCATAACCAATACGGGATGATAATCAATCGACATACGGAATAAACGAGCTACGAGCATTATATTGCTAACCCTAGTCGTCTAACCGAGATCAACAAGTAATTAATGGCTCTATCTACTCAAGCAAGCAATCAAGTTCAAGCATTTCCACCATCATCAATCAAATCCAATTTA